ACATAGGGAAAAGAGAAAGGATGGGTTTCTGGAAGCCCATACCGTAGTGGTCGCCGGAGAATTTCTATTGTTCCTTGAACTCTGATTTCTTATTAAACAGCTGATCACAAACCACCATGGTTCGCCATATGGAGTTGCATGCATATGTAGTTTACATATATTCTTTCGACATTGTAAAGACTATCGCCACTTTTCACTTGCTTCTGGTTGACACATCCATGTTTTTCAATGCAGCAGTGAATATGTGATGAAATTATAAATAAAGTAGTTGGTGGTTCTTAGAGGATTTGCTGTTTTCTATAATAAGCATTAGTAAATGGTTCGAAAAATCTTGCCAGGAGAAAAGGTATGCAGGTCTGAGGTGCTTATATTTGGTGCATTTCCAAGATTTTGTGAGGCTATATTTAGGATGTCAAAAGAAGAACTTTACAAGAACTCGTAATGCATATTGGCAGTAGTTAATAGTTTGTAGTTCAACATTCAGTCGAAAAGAACATGTGGTGTAAGGAATCAGTAGTAAGGAAAAAACTGTAGAAATATGATTTTTTTGTATATTGATCTACATAATATCATTTTTAAATTAAATGTGTCAGCTAAAAGTGGATTTGGTTGGAGAAGGAAATTCTTTGAACGGGTTCAATCATTTGTCTAATTTTGTTTCCTGCATCCAGCAGGCAAGTTCTGTTGGACCTTATAACCAGGTAGATCCAGATCTATGGCTGTTTTAGTCTCCATTTTCATCTAATTATTGATTTGTTATTTCAAAATTAAAGTGTTTTTTGGTGTAACATATTTCCTCATATATTTGTTTAGTTCACACTTGTTGTTCTAGTTGCGACCAACACACCAGTTTTTCTTTGCAAATGCATAAGTAATTATGGGTTGGTTGGCGTAGATGTTGGCCTTCCTTTTCTATTTTTCTTTTCCATGTTAGATCTAGCTTACAATGGATTGCAAAAGTAACTTTTGCCAGTTAGTTAATCTTCTTTTGGGAACCAGTTATAAAGTATCAAGGGTTTTACATTCTCTATATTCTAACTGCTTTTTGATTTTTTTCCTTATTTTTTGCATGTTTGCTAAGTTTTGTACTAATTTTATACATGACTCTTTTCTTTTTTCTCTCAGGATTTGTTATATATTAACCCTGGTTATATAAAGTCCTTATAGTTTTACTGCTCTCATTGTCATCATTGTCTTCATTGCCTTGGTTGTCATTATTATGTGTAAAACTTAAAAGTTCTTTTCAGGCATAATGTAACTTATCTTTGCGATTGTAGCACAGAGTCTTTCAGGTGGCCTACTGTTGGAAAATATAAAGTAGATGTTGCCTCATTTGAATCTTTGGCATTGCCTCAATTGCAGGTAAGCTGAGATTACTACTTGCAAGACAGCTTCAAGTGCTCTAATGTGTAGTAATAGTGCTAATTTCGTTATGCATTTCACATCAGATCAAGGAAGGCATAGATCTTTTTATAGTTGATGAAGTGGGTAAAATGGAACTATATAGTTCTTCTTTTTTCCCTGCTGTTCTGAGAGTTCTTGATTCCAATATTCCTTTTTTGGCAACGATACCTATACCTAAGTTTGGCCGTGACATTCCCGGAGGTACACTATTTTCCTTTAATAGCTTGGTGTTTATGTTTGTGCTGATTTATGAAGTTAGATAAATTTAAGTTAAGATAAAATCATAGATATTTCATTTGTTTGCCCGTTTCTTGTGTCTAAATTGTTTTAACTTTTCACTCAACTTCTTGTCCAGTTCCTTATCATTAGTATATCACTACATTGAAAGAGCATCCGTAGCTCATCTCATTTTTGTGAATATTATGATGACCGTTCCACATTCCATTCTTTTGAATTCTGATCTCTTTGGACAACTAAAGTATTCTTCATAAGATATCATGGTTGGAACTAATTGGTAACATCTATTATTTGTCTTACGACTATCAGTACATTTCATATTAGTCCACAGTGTGTAACTTTGAAAATATTTTCGAGCCTGGTATGCCAGCTTTTTTCTTTATTGAAGTTACATACGCCAGGTGGATGATCTTGCATCAGTTATTTCTCTGTTGCCAGGTGTAGATGTTTCTTCTAGGGGGACTTTGATTCACATTCTGCAAAATATTTGTCTTCAACAGACACCTATACCAACTATGTATACATCCCTAATTTGTAAGATCTACACGACCAACTCCATTGTACAGTCCCACACTGCTTGGCCAAAAGATAAGATTTCCACATAGATGAAATATGATTCCTAGGGTAGTAAAAGGTTTAATGTCATCAGGGGCTTTCCATTTCAAGCTACTCAAAAGAGGCTGGTTTTTATTTTCTAGTTAACCTTTGTTATTTAGTTGCAATTTCAATTTAGGGCTTAGCAGATTTTGGTTCTCCATCTCTAATAATTATTTTACACCAGAATCTATAGTCAGAAAAGCTTTTGCACTTTGACTAAACTTCCAAATTTACTTTGTGTATTTACAATTAGTTTCCTACACCATGTTTGGTCCCATCACTATCACGTAGCTTAGGATTTGTTGGAAAATTGATGCTTGGCTCATGATGCCTTAGGTTTCGCAAAATATTCCTTTAGATTTTGTTGACTTGGTGTGCGCTTTACAGTTGACTAAGTTGTGTTTAGATTGAAGTTCTTTTATCAGCTTGATCATACAACTAAGGAGATGTTAATAACCAACAATTATTATGTTGACTTAGAGTGTGCTGACTGCATTCACATGGTCTCCCTCATTTGTTTTTCTACGATGAAGCTTTTCATAGACTCTATGCCTCTTGCTTTCAGTTTTTGTTTTCCTTTTGTGCTAACGAAACCATTTCAACTTATGATTTGCAGTGGCAAGGTTGAGAAATCATCCTGGAGCTACTGTCTTCACACTGAACCCAGGAAATCGAGATGCCATGAAGGACACCATATACTCGCAGATTGTTAATCTGCTACAGAACCACTGAAACCGTAATTCTTTTTTTTTTTTTCGCTTGCTAAAGCAGACATAATGTGGATTGAACTACTCTGTTGCACCTTGTTCTTATTTTCTTCGACCACAGCATTATTATATGTGTTGAATGAGAAAACCATTTGCAGCATCCAAAGACTCGAGGTTTTCAATTAATTGAACTGTCTTTGTCTTTCTGTGGTGGATGCCCTACGTGAAGGAACATGCTGCTTCTTCAGCTTTTAGTTAGCTTGAATTGCTTATTTTCCAGGTGAATTCTGATCTTGTGATGTCTTTTCTGCTGCTGAGAAATCTAAATGTGTCAAAATCTTTTGATCACAAGTCATGAAAGTGGCAAAGAGCTGCCATTCCATTGGTTGGCTTTGTGCGTTGAGGCGAGATGTACATGTGGCAAAAGTGTAAATAATGCACCGGAAAGGAAGATGAGTAAAATAACGAGTGAAATTATATGTATATGAATTAATCAAGACTCTAACATCGTCGCTTCCGTAGCATAGTGGTAGTGCGTTCGCTTCGTAAGCGAAAGGTCGCGAGTTCGATCCTCGCCGGGAGCTTTATTTTTTTATTTTTTATTTTGGGGAAAATATTTCATCTCTCTCTCGAGTGGCAAAATATTTCTTGAAAGTTAGCCTCCCTCCTTTGGTTCAGTGATTGGTATGCACCTTTTTTTTCCCTTGATTGAGTTCTGCATAATTCGCTATTCCTTTATATACTATCCCTTATCAAGTCAGTCTAATCAAATGGGATCACAGGGCAAAATAAGAAAAAAAAGAATCAAAATTCCAATACCTATCTGAATTAAATCACGATCTGATATCTCTAGTGACCTAATCTATGATCATAGTATATGCATGATATTATGAAAAATATCGATAGTGACTGGATTAGCTTGATTTAATTTGAGCATGTATAACACCGAGAGATCTCGAATGTCGGATTTAGTGTCAACCTACACAAAGAACGAGGACGAGTAAGATTTCATATATGATTCGTCTGATGATAAGTTAGTAACAAAATAAAAAGTAATAGTCTTAAGTAAAATAATAACTAACATCGATATCCTTGATCTTGCAAGCTAGATCTAGTGTCGACCTGTCCAAAAATTGAGATTGAGTGAGGTACTCGATGTGCTTCCTCCAATAGTAAGTTATTAATGAAATGATTGCATAACAATAACTAACTTAGATTAGTATGATCTAATAAGTGTTTTTATAATTGATTCAATTGAAAATATCATTCTAATTGATGAAATATTCTATTAGCATTTTATATTAGACTTATATATCTCAATCGTTAACGAGGTCACTAACCATCTCGATCTGATCCACCTGTCATGTGTTTGGTCTTGTTAGGGTGAATATTTTTTGAATTTTATTTAGAACAAGATAAATTTGTAAAATTCTATATCCATTTTATATTGGACTGATGGCTCAATTGTTAACCAGATCCCTAACCATCTCGATCTGACTCAGCTGCCACGTGTCTTGTCCTCGTTAGAGTGAATATTTCTCGGATTTCATTTAGAACAAGATAAATTTGTAAAATGCTGCATCCGATATTAAGCAAAGATGTGGAGATATGACATGAAGCAGATTGTTATATGCTCATCAAGGCAAGCAAGGTTGATAGCTCAGCAGATATCAGGGCTTTCCACAGGAGTGTGAACTTTTCTTGAGATATCTCTGTCATGAGCTGGAATTCTTAAAGATACCAAAATGCTTCAAGCCAGAGAAGACACTCATTTCATGTTTTGTGGAAGTATTGCCATCATTCTTGCTAGATTTGCTTCTTAATGATCAGCCATCAAGAGTGGTTAAAAGCCTATAAACAAGCATGTGGAAAGTTGAGATTGAAATCTCTTTGTGAAGCATTAAAATGACAAAATTAAAAAGGACAACTTTGTTGCATGCCATTCAAGATTAAAGAATGAAAGATCCACCACCTCCATCCACATAAGGAAAACCTTTCACCACTGTGACAAATGTTTGTAATTTCAGATGAAAGGCCATATATGCCCATGAACCATATGCAAACTTTGAATTGTCATAAACTTGTAAGCAAATAAATTAACCGATCAAATTACACGAGCAAATCCCACACCACACCACAGTTTCTCAAAATGAATCCTGACCTAAAAGGTCATCAAGGCTCAACTTTAAGGTCGAGGAAAAAAAAAAATACAGGTAATGTACTCTCAAAGGTTAGCCTGTAATGCATAAAGACATGCAAGGCCCTCCCCTCCTTATTCCTTCCCTTTTATCAATTAATATATAACCACTTACAAAAATAGAAAAAACATAAATTTTGCACATTACACATCTGATGGCGGCGTTGTCTGTTATCCCCATGTTACTTTGTTGAAGCTGCTTTCTCCAAATATATCACCGATGATCCGATCATGATTGAAGATACCACTTGTATAAAGGAATAGACATAACAATTACTTGAGAAGACGATACCAGAGGACGGTATGTAGCTGAAGCTTCTCACTTCCCCACCTGAACTTTAAGCTTACTCATACCAGTCTCCAGCTTTTCCATACCAGCTTCATTATTTTCACCACCAGATTTTGCATCTCTGACCTTAAGCCATGGATGTTGCAGACACTGTGCCGCCGTTGGTCGCTTCTCTGGAGCAAAGTCAAATAGAGGGCATAGAAACTCCACAAATTCATGGGCAATGGCCTCAGAAAATTTGTATTTCTCAACAAGCAACCGATCCAGAGGCCAGAATTTCAGCCTTCGTATCCTCTTCAGGTCTCCATACCTGTCAAAGTAGTCCTTTGATCGGGATCCAGTAGTAGCAATCTGAAGAGCAGCGTGAAAGCTACTTATTATCATGCATTAAGCGAGTTACAATAACAAAAACCAGTTCTCACCTTTTTGGGCATCTTTCCAAGGAGCTCCATCATTAAAGCCAAGTGATCCTGAAAAAGAGCCAAGTTGTTTAGTGAAAAATAATTCATAACAGAAGTTGAAATTATTTTCAGATGAAACAAAACAATCACAGGCTGGAGCTTGCAAATACACGTCTTGATATCAAAAGAACATTTGGAGCTTATTAATTAGTTCTAACTATTTCACACATTTATCATACAAATTCAGAAGTTGATGATTTAATTAAAGAAAAATAACTAATGCAAGACAACGAGCAAAGAAGAAAATAAAAGAATAGTTGCTAACAAGCAAAGATGTAAGAACCAGGATCCAAACTAGAATAATGCTTTGGAGCAAAATCCATAAAGTTCGCATTGGGTAAGTGATGCAAGTTACACATTTTAAGATTAATTTGTAATAAATGAATACCGCTAAATTACACGATCAGCAGTAGTTCCTGACTAGAGTTGGATGACTATAAGTCCAAGTTTTTGGAATCTGCATCTCTACCATTTTTACATAAAAATAACCAACACCACATTTTTGCAAAAGAAACAATAAAAATACATTCTTATACATTCCAAGATGCTTTTGATTAAACATTATGAAAGAAGGATACATGTTAATGCTGATACCAATCAGGGAAGAATAACTTCTACTTTCAAGATGATCATTTTTGACACATAAACATGAAATAAAGTGAATATATATATATACACACACACACACACAATTGATGTTAGAAAAGTTACATAGACATATGCTGTTGGAAAAGCACCAGTATTGCATTCCAGTCTGCCTTACCAAGAATGCAAAATATATCAAAGCCTGTTCTATTGGAATTTCAATAGACTAATTAATTTAACATCTTCCACCATTTTCTCTCTGTTAGTCACTATTATGTATATAGTGAAACCAAACTAATATAATCTACTGCCCCTTTCTGCTCTCTCTACCAAGTTCCAAATTATATCTTGCTTACTAAAGCTTCAATCTCCAATTCTATACACAGCTTCGGTACAATGCATCAGTATTCTGTCCACTTCACATGTTTCAAACTAAAACTCATTTCAAAATATTGTTTCAACATCTTGGAAAATACAATATTTTCCATTAACAGGGATGAATTTAATCTTTTAAGGCTGAAGCCATCTCATATAGAACTCTCAACAACATCTGCCAAACACTTTTAATTGAAGTCAAGTGTGACCTTCAACCAGGTTTTATTTGTTCTTTTGTCCATATAATCCAGAATAATGCTGGAAGAATGTGTACAAACATATGTTCAGGCGTCAGCTAAATTTCTAAGCAACAATGTCAATTTAGATCAGTGCTTCCTTTGTTTACCCAATTTTCGAAGTAAAAAAGTAAGTATTCTTGCTTATATACAGGTAGGAGCCATACCTCATCTTCACTATATCCTTGGCCAATTTTAGGAGTAAATAACATATCTCCAGTGGCAAGCTCAAAAGCCATGCAAGCAAAAGACCACATATCTGTGGAAAATGAGTAACCAGCACCAAGAATGACCTCAGGTGACCTATATTGCCTTGTCTGGATATCATCAGTTAACTGTTTATCGCACCAACAAGCATTCCCAAAATCCACAATTTTGCATCCCAGATCAATCCCTTCTAAGCTCCTTTCCTGCTGCAAAACCAGTGGATCTGATGCTCTCCTCTCAGCGATTCTTGCCCTTGCCCTCTTTGCCTTTTTCTTCAGCCTCTTCTCAATCATATTGACCACCGTTCCCCCATTTGGGTTGCCCTCGGGCCTCTCTAGGATTGGGGTGAACCCAGACCTGACTGGATCCTTCGAAGGATCAATAGTGGAAACAAGAAGAACATTCTCCAGTTTCAAATCTGTGTGAATGATGCCAACTTCCCGGTGCAAATAATCAAGACCAACCAAGATAGACCTGCATATGTTTCTCACTCTATCCAACCCAATGCCTTTATAGCGGTTGTACTTGACAAGCCGAAGTAGGCTATCGCCAAGGAACTCGATTACCAGGCAAAGATGCTGTCCATTTGGTCCAACATGCTTGAAGTGGTCAAGCAATCGGACGATGCACTTGGAATTTGAGGCATCTCCTTCGGCAATTGCTGAAAGCAGCTCAATCTCATGGATGGCAGCTTGAGCGAACTCCGGTGCACTCTTTTGGATTTTGAGAGCAACAAAATTCTGCAGAACAAAATAACTGAACGTGAATTCGGAAGAAAAATAAAAAAATGTACCAAGAAGAGAAAAAATACCGATCTGCACAGGACAAGAAGGCAGCAAGAATGGATAGCGATAATTATACGATCGAGAATATGAGGCAAACAAGAAATAAAATTAATAGATGATGTTAATCACCAAGATTAAAGTTAGTATGCAATTCTTGGGAAGAAAAAACAGGGTTCAGTAACACCACTGTCGAATGCTTTAAGGGGAAAAGAATCCCATAAACAGTGAGACTATCGAGCACAACGTAGAAAGTGTGGAGAATGAATGAAACATCATCAATGCTTTTCCATTCACGGCAATAATCATTCAGCCGTACAATCTTGAACATAAAATGCGTTAAAAAGAAAGTACAAGAAATAAAGGCACCCTCATCTTAATAATTCTTCAATCAATATGAAATATTCTTCAATTGAATTCAGTGCAAAAAAGATCAAATCGAAGAAAGGTCGGAAAATCGAGTTAAATCGAAGACTGGAACAAAAATATGAGAGATTTAGCAGATAATTGGCAAAGATCTACGCAAGGTCGCGATCTTTAGAAGAGAATTGACATCAAACGGAGTAACTGGCGGCTAAAGGCACGATCTTTCCTCAAACCATCGCCAACCCGGGGAAAACATCACGGAGAAGGAAAGAGAGATGCGGGAGTGCGATCGAGCACCTGGGATCGGGTGTCGTAGGCGAGCCAGACGGTGGAGAAATGGCCCCACCCGAGCTTCCGCTGGGCGATGTACCGCCCGCCGGCGAATTGATCGCCGACCCTGACGGCGTGGTACCCCCCTTTCCTGTAGGCATCCACGCCCTCGTCCTCCTCCGACGCCGACGACGACGAGCACGACATCTCGCTCCCTCCCGGCCCGCGTTCGCTCCCAAAGCGACTCTTTTTGGTCGCCGCCTTGTACCCGAAGGATCCAAAACTCCCACCAACTAAGAAGGGAGACGGAGAACGAGGAGAAGGAGGAGGAAGGAGAAGAAGCGGATCTGATGGAGGAAGGAGAGGCGATGGATACAACTGGCCGAAAGGAATATGACCGCTTCCACCACCTGAAAAGTGTTCGCACCAAAGAGCGAGAGAAAAAGGGGTGAGTTGGTTGTTTCGTGACTTAACTGGAGTGCATCTCAGGCTGCAAGAACGAACACGGCACGCGTGTCAAGCAACGGTTGGGATGGCGTTAAGATTTGGACTTGCTCCTGGACTCATCCACCTTTGCACGGTTGGCAATGGGTCAGATTCGGGTTCGATCAGACGTCACGTTTATGGGCATGTAAGCTTCATCCACATCAATCCATCATTTTCCTCGCAATCTAATGTACTTAATTCTTTTTTTGATTTTTTGAAGATTATAAATCACGGTCCAATGACGATTTCTTGTACATACACCGAACATGTATTAGCATCATATAAAAAATATCGTTCACGATATATATATATATATATATATATATATATATATATATATATATTCCTCAATAAATAAGTCATATATATATATATATAATTATAATTATAAATTCGGTGAAAAGCAAAGGAAAAAGCAGTGAAACATCTCTGCCCCCGCCAGCTCACTGTTGAAAGATGGCATATGCATAGTTCTTTACTAAAGCACTTTCAAATAAAAAAAAAGTACATAAAAAAGTTTTATATTATTAGAATAGATTTTGATTATCCGATCCATCCGATATAAATGCCATTAGAATGAAAAAAATAAATCTTTAAGTGATTAGGATGGAGACGGAGACTTTGATTAATCACGATCAAGCATGATTTTGTTTTCTAATATTGTTTTTTAGAATATTTATATACAAAAAAAATAATTTTTTGTCAATTTTATTTTTTTAAAATTTCAAAGGATTTTTATACTAATAAACTGCATATGAAAATTAGATGATGAATTTGTTTTTCTCTATCCTTCTTTGCCGACAATAGAAAAGGAATAAATTTCTAAAATACTAGTCAAATAATATTTACTTCATTCCAGCGAAATCTCATCCTATTTGTTGCGAAAGAAAATTCAAATAGCATTATTTTATTAATCACTAAAATATTTTTGTGGCACGACTCTTGGTCTAAGTCGTTCACGTCCGACTCGCCAGGTTGACATCGTTCCCAAGTCTCCACGCGGTAACTACTACCTTCTTATTCCTTTTCACACCCCGCGCCTACGCATCGCTTCTCGTCTTCACTGCCCATTCCCCTCCTCAAGCCCCGAAAGCTCCAACCTATCGACCGCCCCACGACTCGACGAGGAGTCAAACCTCTCCTCACTCTTCTTCCCTTCTCTTTCTTCTCATCCCTCGATCCGTCCTCCCTCTCTCCGATCCCCCTCTGGGCCCCCTCGCGGCGCCGGGCGGAGAGCGTCGAGCCCGAGCCAGACATGGGCCCTGGCGGCACCCGCGGAGGCGGAAAATTAGGGTTCTTGTCCGTGTAAAGATCCCCAGGAAGAGTTCCAAATACGGTATGGATTTCTATGCCTAATTAGTGTCGGTAGATCTTCCAGACCCTGCGTCGGTGAAATGATCAAAATTTAACTTCGTTAGACTCTAGGAAGACCAATTACGGGTGAAGATTGACAAGATTAGATCTTTTTCATGATCATCGACATGGTTGGTTTTGGCACTGTCGAGACATTGGCACGTTTGGCTGGGGTGCTCCCCTCATCTCTGCTAATTTTGCTTGTTTCATTGTGGACATAGTTATTTCATGTTGCATGTATCGGACGGTTATCTTTGCTTAGGGAAAATACAGATTTATTTTGTCGCCAGAGGTTTATACGATCCTTTGCGAAGATAAAGCCATAATCCTGAAGATAGAATAGGTCTAATAGTGGATTTATATACACAACAAAATGCATATTTGATTAAGCTCAACCTAGTTATCATCAAAATTCTCAACAACGTACATATTTGATTAAATTTCGATAACTGTTTTAAGTAAATGATTGGTCGAAAAACATGCAAGGGGAAGTTAAATGCAGCTCTTGACTTTGTATAACCTAATGTTTTGTCTCGTAGCTAATTTTTCTTATTTATAACTGTTAACCTCTATGGTGGGGAGTAAACCATATAACCTTGTTATACGTCAACCTTATAACCTTGTTACATATGCTTATTGATGATAATATTTTGGTCTAGCCAATTCTTATTTTTGCTCCTACTTTGCAACGAGGTTGAACTTGGTCTTCTTGCGAGTTGAATTTTTACTTCAATCAATTGAACTATGACAACAGGTCATGATGAAATAAGCTCTTGTAGCATCTTTATTGGCAAGATCTAGTTTTATGCATTCAGGTCATTGATTGGATTGAGGCTATTGCTCCCCATTGAATATGTATAAATCTTTTTTCTTAAGGTTAAGGTCCGTTTTAGCCCATGTGGTTTTGGTCATAAACCTTTTAAGCTCTTATGGTTTACTCGTGTTTAAATAACCTCTACATTTTTAAAAATGTAACATATAAATCCTTTCCGTCAAGTCTGAGTTAACAGACGTTAGAGTCTGTCTACGTGGCATGCTAACTCACAATAAACTATTGATATAATGACACATGTAATTTAAGTTAAAAAAAACTGATAATAGGTCGATTTGAAAACGTGGACCAGTTGTCTAATCAATCCTATAAAGGTGAGCTAGGAGATGCCAGTCTTCACGGCGGAGTGCTCCCACGCCTTCCACTTTCCCTGTATAATTGCCCACGTCATGAGCCACGCCAGCCTTGCTTGCCCCATCTGCTTCGCCTCCCGGTGCCACGCGCCCTTCCTCTTCGTGCTCCGCCGTCGAGAAGACGATAAACCAGTTTTCGAGTAAGGGGCGACGGGAGAGACGGAGAACCAAAACCTGAATAGGAGAACTACCAATGTTGGTAGCTGAAACATCAGTAAAGGTGGGGAACAACAGCTAGGGTTGAACAGAGTGGCTGTCATCGCTGTCGTTGCTATTGCTGCTGAGGTTTATGACAACGACGAGTCGTTGCTACTTGTGTCGAAGCCCAACTAGGGAGGAGGTGTGCGGTTCAATCATATACCAGAAGCAGCCAATGAGGACAAGGATGAGGAAGCTTACAGCAATGATGAGGAGACGTAGGACGTGGAACGAGAGGACGAGTTCTATGGGCTCCTTACGGCCCCTCGCACCCGATCTACTAGCTGCACTGACGGAGAAGTCCTTCGTCGGTCGACACCGAGGTCCAGGGCTAGTGGCATCCTTGTGAGCGTGATGCTGTAGGTGGCCCTGCTCTCGGAAGAGCAGAGGCACCGAAGCTACATGGTGGCTCTCAAGGTGAAAGAGCCACCGATAGGATCCTTCGCCCCTCTCTGTGCCCCGATTGATTTGATGACAGGGGAGAAGCTCCGGATGTTGAAGCGTGCAATGCGGCTAGTGGTTTCCTCTTTGGGCCTGGGGGATCGGCTCTCCATTGTGGCCTGTTCGACTGCCACAAGTGCTAAGAGGCTCCTCCCTCTACGACAGATGTCGAGGCAAGGCCATCGCACCGTTCGCTAGATCGTGGAAAGGTTCGTTTTGAAGGAAATTGATTAGACAGTCGATCCACGTTTTCAAATCCACCTATTATCATTTTTTTAAACTTAAATTATATGTGTCATTATACTAATAATTTATTATGAGTCAACATGCCACGTAAGCATACTCTAACGTATGTTAACTCAAACTTGAGGGGAAGGGCTTATATGCTACGTTTTTGAAAATGTAGAGATTATTTTTGTCACGAGTAAACCATAAGGGTTTAAGAGATCCATGACCAAAATCACATGGACTAAAATGAACCTTAATCCTTTTTCTTATTATTGCAAGGATTTGGTATGTCGTGTATGCATGTAGTTTTTCAACAACCTTGAATTTAAAAAATGACAAAATCAATCAAGAATTATAGTTTCAGTTGGTTCAGGCAGTTTCATGCTAGGTTGTGCTTGGCCTACCTGTATTGCGCCTTCATGACGCCACCTCTTCTATAATATGATCAGCCCTATTTTTAGCCTGTTTTGTCTGGCACAGAAAATGTGACAGATTGCTGTGCCATTGGTATTTAGATTCTTGAATGCAATTATTGTCCTGATACCACTGATCCATATTATTTCATAACTTAGTAATTTCCTTTTTTTAATGTCTTACTGTTTTGTTTCTAACCTCTGAAGCTGCTAAATTTGTATCAATTGGTTAGATTTCTGGAAGAGATGGCAGAAAGTTGGGATGGTGGCCATTCAGATGATAGCTTCCGTGACAGTCTATACACTGAGCCTATATATGAAGCATTTCTTTGTCCCCTTACAAGGCAAGTTATGAGAGATCCTGTTTCCATAGAGAATGGGCAGACTTTTGAGCGGGATGCAATAGAGAAATGGTTCGAAGAATGCAGGGATAGTGGAAGGAGGCCAACCTGTCCGTTGACACACAAAGAGTTGAAGAGTACTGACTTAAACCCCAGTATTGCTCTGAGGAACACTATTGAAGAGTGGACCAAAAGAAATGAAGCTGTCCAGCTTGACAAAGCATGTAGAACACTGTCTCTCGGGAACTCAGAGATTGATGTTTTACAGTCTCTTAACTACATCACACATATTTGCCAGAAAAGCAGGTACAACAAGCATGCTGTGCATAATGCAGAGTTAGTACCAATGATTTCTAGCATGCTGAAGAGTGGCAACAGGAAAGTGCGACTTAAAGCTCTAGAAACTCTTTGCATCATAGCTGAAGGGGATGATGATAATAAGGTTGTTTAATGTCTGTTGGACTTGCAGATGCTTTGGAGATTCTGGATGTGTCTTTCTTCCTTTCTTTCTGTATTGATAATATTTGAAAATGTTGTTTTGCAGGAAGTTATAGCTGCGGGTGACAACATCCGAACGATTGTGAAGTTTTTGTCACATGAGCATTCCCAAGAGAGAGAAGAAGCTGTGTCATTATTGTATGAGCTTTCAAAATCTGAATCTTTGTGTGAAAAGATCGGTGGAGTCAGTGGAGCAATTCTTATCTTGGTTGGGATGGCTAGTAGTAAATCAGCAAATATCTTGACAGTAGAGAGAGCTGATAAGACATTAGAAAATCTAGAGAAGTGTGAGAACAATGTGAGGCAAATGGCTGAAAATGGCAGATTGCAGCCACTTCTTACCCTTCTCCTGAAAGGTGCTTTCTGCTGCTTAATTATTGCCCATCTCTACTAGTCCTGTTTCGTTCCATGTTCTTTTCCTCTATTTTGACAGTGCTTATGTGATTTCTCTTCTAGTATATGTTTATCTGAACGTTCCTAATTTCCTATTTTTCTATTGTTTATCAATACATATTATTTCTCTCAGAAATTGTCCTGTTCTAATTGTTTATCATGCTAGTGGGCTCCTTTTTTCTATTTACTCTTTTTTTTCCTTATGCTGGTTTGTGTTTTTCTTTGTTCTGGTGGTGGTTTTAAATAAAGGAGATATCTTAAACAGTTTCTACATATGCTGACACCAAAGTCTTCTAAATGCAATTCTCTCTCTAAATTTATATATAAAACCTTGCAGGGTCACCTGAAACACGGCTGTCAATGGTTTCTTACCTTGGAGAGCTTGTTTTGAGCAATGATGTGAAAGTCTTTGTAGCCCAGACAGCAGGTTCAGTTTTAGTTGATGTCATGAAAAGTGGGAGTAATCTGGCAAGAGAAGCTGCTCTCAAGTCTTTGAATCAGATCTCATCTTATGAGACCAGTGCAAAGATACTTATTCATGCAGGCATCCTTCCCCCACTTGTCAAATACCTTTTCACTGTAGGCGTCAACCAACTACCCATGAGGATGAAAGAGGTATCTGCAACAATTCTTGCCAACGTTGTGTCCTCAGGTGCTAATTTTGAGTCCATTCCTCTTGACCAAGATCGTAGGACTTTGGTTTCTGAAGACATTGTTCACAATCTCCTCCATCTAATCAATAACACTGGACCTGCTATTGAGTGCAAGCTCCTTCAGGTGCTTGTCGGGCTTACAAGTTCTGCCACCACTGTTGTGAATATAGTTGCTGCAATAAAAAGCTCTGGTGCTACCATTAGTCTCATTCAGTTTGTTGAAGCTCCACAGAAAGATGTTCGAATGGCTTCTATAAAACTTCTGCAAAATATATCTCCCTACATGTGCCAAGAGCTGGCTGATGCTTTGCGTAGTACTGGTGGCCAGCTCAGCAGTTTGATTAATGTCATTGCAGAGGACAATGGGATCTCTGAAGAGCAAGCTGCTGCTATCGGACTCCTTGCTGACCTTCCTGAGAGTGACACTGGTTTAACTAGGAGGCTCTTGGAGGAAGGTGCTTTCAAGATAGCCTTCTCCAAAGTGGTCAGTATCAGGCAAGGGATAACTCGTGGGGGGCGCTTTGTCACTCGGTTTCTGGAAGGGCTTGTTAGGGTTCTCTCCAGGCTCACATATATTCTGGAGGGTGAACCTGAGGTCATTGCCCTTGCTCGTGAGTACAGTCTTGCCTCACTCTTTACTGATCTGCTTCAGATGAATGAACTGGACAAAGTGCAAAGAGTTTCGGCACTGTCACTGCAAAATCTCTCCAAGCAGTCAAAACATCTGACACAGGTCCCAGTCGCTCCAGAGCCACGATTTTTCTGTTCCATATTTCCTTGTCTAGGCAAGCAACCAGTTATAACCGGGCTATGTCGAGTCCATCATGGTTTCTGTTCAATAAAGCATAGCTTCTGTTTGTTGGAAGGGAAGGCAGTAGAAAAGTTGGTTGCTTGTTTAGATCATACAAACGAGAAAGTTGTTGAGGCTGCTTTAGCAGCATTGTGCACTCTTTTGGATGATGATGTGGACATTGACCAAGGAGTATCGGTGTTGGATGAGGCGGATGGGATTAAACCAATTCTGGATATATTGCGTGACAATCGAACGGAGATACTTAGGCAGAAAGCTGTGTGGGCGGTTGAGAGGATTTTGAGGAATGATGACATAGCTAATGAGATTGCGGGGGATCAGAATGTTGGGACAGCATTAGTTGAAGCATTTCGGCACGGGGACTATAGGACGAGGCAAATTGCGGAGCGAGCACTGAAGCATGTGGATAAGTTACCCAACTTCTCTGGGATTTTCACAAAAAAAGGGGGATAAGAGGTGGAAGGATGAAAGGTTTGTATCACATTTAGACGCATTTTCATACTCTCATTTGTATCTTCATTTCTATTTTGAACTCAAAACTTTGATGACATTTTCTTGTCAATTTCTTGGTGAAAAGGGTTTAAAGGGTGTTGATGACCAAATTACCTTCTTGGTGACTCCAAAGAGAGAGAGAGAGAGAGAGAGAGAGAGAGAGAGATTGTAGAACAAGTGCCAAAGACGCATGAAATTTGCGTAGCTTCTCTCGGTTATGTCCAAGGATGTGCTGCTGATGGCCGAGAGAAAGAATTGAATGTTCGGTTGTATATGGACTTTGAATGTACGTTTGTCTCTCTCTGTCCATTATGTTTCACATTCGAAATTGGTTAGAGATATAAAATGACTTACTGAGAGTCATCTAGTGTGGTCGAGTTAGATGTTGTGTAAGCATGCAGGTTGCTTATATATGATGTATTTTGCAATAAAGGTTTCATGGCATGCTAGAAAAGCAATAGGGTTATGGTTGGATGCCTGTTTTCTAATTAGTCAACCATATCCGGCCTCACTATACACATTTGATACTAACCTTTGTCTATATCTAGCTATGACAATGGGTCAACCAATTATAAAGCTCACCTTGATCTCATAAAAATAGATGATATTAGTTTTCTCTCATTTCATTATAATTAAACCATGAGAATACATGTAACTGAGGATTGTACTTTCAGATATCAGACCTACATCCTATACAAGTCTGTGTATCAAAAGTCTATGTGTCAACATACACGGTATGTCAACTAATGCCACAGTGCTAGAAGTGGAGGAGATGGAGAAGATGAAGTATGTGAAGATGGAACAAAGAACGACCAAGGAGAAAAGATGAGAAGGATGTGAAGATGGAGCAAAGAACGATGATGAAGATAGATTGACGGAGAAAAGATGAGAAGGATGTGAAGATGGAGCAAAGAATGATGATAAAGACAGATAAGGATGAGGAACAACAACAAAGTCGGAGAGGAGTGCCATCAGCAAGCCAACCAGGAGAGCGTACAAGCAGCAAGCGATGAACGGCAGAGTATAGAGGGGAGGGGAGGGGGGGTGGGGTGGGGGTGTTATTAAAGGAACTTTGATTTTATTTATTTGAAAATATAAAAAAAGAATGAGCTTGTGGTTTGAACCTGATAGGGCATATTTTGGTAACCTGTCCTTTGACCACTATCCGCGGCCACATCAACGTCAAGGTCAACACACCGGACCCCACCCCCCGGTTAACACCGTCCCGCAAAGGTTGGACGACGCCGACCGAGTACCGTGCCGCCTCGTAAAAATCGGGTCAGCACCGATCGAGTATAGTGCCGTCCCGCAAAGATCGAGACGGCACCGACCGAGTATCGTGCCACCTCATAAAAATCGGGTCTGCACCGTCTGAGTATAGTGTCGTCCTACAAAGACCGGGACGGTGCCAACCAAGTGTCATGCCGTCCCGCAAAGATTGGGACGATGTCAACCGAGTACTGTGCCGTCTCGCAAAAGTCATGTCGGCACCGTCCAAGTACAGCGCCACCCCGTAAAAGGCAGGACGACGTCAACCAAGTACAGCGCCGCCTCGTAAAGGTCGGGACGACACCACCGCACAACGTCGTGACGCCCAATGTCGGCCCCAAGAGTAAGTCCACCACCCGGAGAGTCGACAGCCATAAATATGATAAGTACGACTGGTCCCCCACTGGAGGGATAAAATCCCATCGCGGGGCCAGCGACAGGAGGGGTCTTTGGCTCATTTTTCCACCCGGTGCTAACAAGATCTTTGGAGGAGTCGAAGTCGGGAGCCCTCTTCCCGACCCCGACCTGTGTGCAGAGACCGGAGATAGAGAAGCAGGCGGTCAGCCAAGGGGAGCTTCCAGACTTTGAAGCCAGAGCCCAAGCCCGACCTCACTTGACGATGATCCCCGCCGCCCGAGCGCCGACATGGATGATCTTACGCATCCGGTACCGAACCAAGCCTTGTTGACTCCCTCTGCCATGACGTAAAGGATTACTATCAGAACCTAGGAGAGGTAAGCCCGTACTACATGCGGACAGTCCGAAATTGGTGGTCCACATGTCCATTATATTTCAGATAAGTCCATATCGATCCACATGTCGATTATATTACAAATAAGGCATTCATTTAAGTACATGAATATCTTGTTTGGTTGAAAGAAAACTTTCGCACGCACAGGTTTTTAGTGACTCTGGAATGAAAATTGAGCTAAGGCTTCTAGTAATGTCCATCAGGATTCCTGTTCCAAGATAAGTATGAAGGATCTCCAAGAGTCCTGCAAAAGGATCGTGTCGAATTAGCTCAACTAACAATCATCATGAACCATTCAATTGCAATGTGCAAGCAATCAGGCTTTCATTCACTGCATTAGCTCTAAAAGAGATATGTAGTATATACCTATGGCAGCAGTTTGCATTTCTATCATATTCAATTCAAATTAGTTAACTGCAAACCAAATATTTCCCAGCATGCATCGGTTTCAAAATTTATCCCCTAAAAGTAGGAACTTACATAGACCAAGAGGATTATAAGAAAAAACTGCAATATTCTATATCATATTGGTTAACAGAATAATATTTGTTAATCATAGATCTAAATTCAAGAGAATTTTACAAGTAAAAACTGCAATATTCTATATCATATTGGTTAACAGAGTAATAATTTTTAACCATAAATCTATATTCAAAATTTTTTGGTTACATAAAGATTTTAACGAATACCACATGTTTCAGTAGACTGTGAGATAGCAGGAACACAATATATTTGCCAATAAATGACATGCAAGAAGCTTACCTTGGTTTCAGCAAATACAGAACTATGAAGGCCATTGCAAGAAATAGGCATAGACTACCAACTGTGAGATAAGCAGTACCGAGGAAATCATTTTTCCCACCTATCCAGGAGGTAGTTGAAAGTACCAATTTTTTCTTCCCCTCAAAACTATATGTGTTGTAGTTGTTCTGTATCGTCACTGTTATTTGGTCATTGGCATCAAGGTCCATTTCGATTCTGCCATATAGTTTTCTGAATTTTGGCAGGGCAGCTGTTCTCATCCAAACAATGAGATCTTCTTGCTCGCTCAACTACAAGTTGTATAACACAAATAACCAATATGTTGAGTAAAGAAATAACAAATGACAATAGGACTAACAGATAACACAAGACAAGAATAATTGAAGAATACACAGGATGCAGAATCAAAGAAATACAACACTTACAGGTATGCTGGCATTGAGCTTGGCGCCTCCTATCAGACCTCCCATCTGGAAATTCTTGGGATAAACATTATTTCCAAATTTATGTTCTTTGTCACTTTGCCAGGCTATATTCTTTTTATTCACCTCAATTGTTTTACTGTCTATTGCAAATGAGTATGTATCGTTGAACAAGCTCCAAGCAATGAGGCCACATGGAACAATTACAGAGCCATCTGAAGTTGTGGCTTCAGGTGCACAGTTAGTGGTTACTTTCTCACTTGCCTTGCTTCTTAGTTGCTTATCGCTTCGGCTTTTAACATACCTAAATTACCAATTCGAATTTGCAGTCAGTAAGAGGAAAACTTATGTAAGACGTAAAACAGTTCCTATTAGTTATCACAGAAATAATAATAATGAAATAACTTCAAAATTTTGAAGTATATCTGTGAGGGAGATTTGTAGCTATGTGAAGGATAAAGAGGAAAAGAAGTCTGTGTTGTATGGATAGACAGTAAATTTCATATACTGTGAACAAATCATCCAGGAAGAATTGACAAGGAATAAGAGGTCTTAGAAAGTTATTCAAACCTGCGATGGTTCTGATAGAAGTTGTCAAGCTCATAATAAATATGAACAGGACCATCCATGTGCCTTGGCACCTGAATTATGAATTATTACACAAAACCCAAATAAGACTAATGAACTGAAACCATGGCAATTGTACTTACAGTTAAAGTTCTGGTACAAGTTTTATTAGTCACACTGCTTTGAATGAATGCCACTTTGTCATTCTGTGATTGCTCAGGAATGCAGTCCACGTCATATTGATAAACAATTTCAACCACCTACTTGTTGATCAAGCAATAACCAATTCATTAAAATCCAAATCCACAGGAGATAAACCACAGAAAAAGTGAACTTACTTGCTCTGATGCAGACAAGGAAGCAAGTCCAATTGGAATGAAGATGATTCCTATCAAAGCGAATGTCGTTACTACCTGCAAAATAAAGGGACAGCATACCAAAATAACAGGAGCTCAATTTTTGCTTAAAAAAGCTTTTCATTTTAAAATTTGAAGGATAAGCAGTACTTACAATCATTGGAGTTAGTAGAGGTTTGCAAGCAGGAAGCTCTTGTTGTGTAAATCTCGAATCTAAATTTTTTTATAAAAAAAAACAGTTTAGTATCATTTAGAAAAGGATAATATAAGGTCATTGAGAGAAATGTAAAAACATGGTCTCAACATGGTTTCAAAAACTTGCTTAAACATGATTAATGTGTTTCAGGCAGTACATAAAAGCAACTCTAATGCAGCTACTAAAAACATCGTATAAAACTAGCAGGGGAAGCATATAAGATGTGCACTACAGCATGCATGACTTTTACATGGTTCACCCAATCCAGGCTGTCCTTTGTACTGAGATGCTAAAGAGATATACATAAACAAAAAAAAAACCAAGTGCAATTATTTCTCATAATTTTAAACCCTTTTCGATAAATATTGCACTCTAAATAATCTTTGTCTCTCCCCATTTGTACAAAACCTTACAATCCAGATTATCCAAAATAGAATATGATCAAAATCTATCTAAATCATAAAGTGTCCAGAGTGATATTAGATTGAATAGATGTTACTTCTGTAGATTCGTCCAAAAAACAAATTATACTGAAAGAGATAGCATGCTTCATGGTGCCAATTATTACTTCTGAAAGTTTAAGAGGGCTTTCGAGAGAAGTTATACATGATCTCCTTTGAATTAATAATCTACAAAAAGTTATTCAAAAGTGACATAGATATCGCTGAAGAAGATAAGTCAAGAGCATAATTCTTTTCAATAACAACTTCATACACACAGGTACAAAGTGGAAATAAACAAATGAATGCACTTTATTTATACTTCGAAAGCATAATTCGAAATATATCGTTCGGTATAAATAAGTCGAACAAATATTAGAGGCGTAGTGTGATCTCATCCTCAGCTTTATTTATACTTTTTCTCTATGTAATCTGAAAGGGATTCATAACACAACTTGAAGTCTGTACTTTTCCATACTACATGCTAAAGCTATACTTTTTCGTCCATTGGAAAAGATCTGTTCTGCTATAACTTACAATCTACAGGGAATTGGAAGAACGAATTACTTGAAACTCGAGTAGATATATTAGCTATATAGAGATCACGAGAACTCTATCCTGATCAGAGAAGCAATAATATGCAATAATATGGACAACGGAGTAGAATATACAAGCAGTTAAGGGTGCTGCTGACGAACTACAGATTGAAGAGGAATAAGGAAAGAAAGGATGAAATGACCTACATTTGGGTTTCTTGGATTTCCTCCTCGGCTCGGCTGGGCCGTCGCTTGGGGACGTCGAATCTCCCATTGGATTGATATCAAAGAAGAGATCGAGATGCGAACCAAGAGGAGATCGAGCAGCAGGTAAGCCACAACCGTTGGAGGACGGAGGAGGGAGGAGGGAGGAGAAAACGAAGTAGGTATTGAAAGGAGCGTCTTTTCCGCCCCAGGAAGCCACAACCGTTGGAGGCGACAGGTCCCTACCGGGGTGGTGGTAGGCCGTAAGCGGACCGCAGGCTATCGGGGACGAGTCCTAGACCACGATCCGATCCATCTGTGTTCGGATCTTTTAACGATAGGGCACACGATCCGATCCGCGAAGACATATATTCATGAAAGAAATATACGCATTTTAATAATCGGAAGATATTAATTAAAAGCTTGCGGCCCCAAATATCCTTTCTGCTCCGCATGAACCGAGTCCGCCACCGATTGACTCAGTCCGAGTCATATATTTGTAGCCGAACAACTCGGCCGAACCTTCCCCTCTTCCTTTCCCTCTCCTCTTTCCCTCGTCGAAACGCTTCGATGCCATTTCATTTCAACATCCAAACGAAGAAAGAGGGCGGTAAACTCACGGATTTCCTCCTTTTCTTACCCCCCAAACCTTGTGCACGAAGCTCTCCTTTGTGTCTAATTTTATGTTCCATTGCGTAATTCCTGGATATTGAAATCTGTCCGCGGCATCGTCCGCGCTCGATGGGTCTTTCTTTTAGGTTTTGATGGGCAATTCTTGTCGAGATTCTTGGCAAGCAAGATCGACCCCCCACACCGCCGCCAATCCATCGGCATTCCCGACGACTCCTCCAAGAAGCCGCCGCCTTCACGAGGCGACTCCAACTACGTGTTCTACCATGAGACGCCCAATCTCCAGGACTCGTGGGGAGGAAATGGGGGCAGATTCATGACGAGTACACATATATGCGAGAAATATGTATTGAGTTCAAGATCTGGATCGGTAGGAACTCGCAAATCCTATTACAGTACAATGTTTTCACTTGTAATGTTCGCACAGACACTTGTGTCTTCCTCTGGTACAGTCAATTACAATGCAGCAAACCAGTCCAGTAGGAATTATTCCTTCAAACCCTATATTTTCTACTTCTTGATAAGCTTCTGGTTCATCTCTCTGCAGGGTGTAACCAGCAGGGATTATTGGTTCAAACCCTACTAGCTTTTCTACTTCCCCACAACCTTCGTTCCATCTCTTGCGCAGAGCGTGATCTTCAGTCCGTACTTCATGTACATGGTGAGCGCCATCTTCGGCACCACCGGGTGATTCTCCATGACCTTCACATGATAACGATGGAGTATCGAGGCAGCGACGAACTTCATCTGGTAGTAGGCGAAGTCCTTCCCCAGGCACAGTCTTGGTCCGCCATTGAAGGCCGTGAACTTGTACGCGGACTCGCTCATGAATCGCCCATCCTTGAGCCACCGCTCCGGTTTGTAGTCCCTGCAGTCCTTTCCCCATATGCTTTCCATTCTTCCCATGGAGAATATGGCGTAGATAACCTTTGTTCCTTTCTTGAGCACAGTGCCATCAGGAAACACATCATCCTCCACAACCTGACCACGCAAAACAGTGCTCAGCAAGCATATCACTGGAAACATATGGCCAGCAAAGAGCCATGTTACTCCACATGCATTTGGCAGGAAGGTATGAGTTCTAGTCATGATTTTTGTACCTTTCAGATTTCTTTTTCTTTTGCACTATTCCTTTTAATCATTTGCCATCAAGTTACATGCTTTCACTTTTCATCAAGGTGCAATCTACTGCGCACAACTTTTTGACTGCATAGATCCACCAACGACACTAATTATATGCATCATCTTTATGTGTTTTTGAAAAGACAACCTTTTTTGTGTTGCCATCTTCTCCAAATGCCATTTGTCTAAGATTCTCTTCATCATGATTCAGACATGTTGAAATCTGGTATTCTTTAATGATTGTATCACTCTCAGTGATTCATGTCTAAAACCAACTCCATTGAATCAAATAAATGGCTGAACACCTACTTCTAATTTTTATGGTTCCTGGTTGAGTTTTCGTCTACAGCTAGCTATACGCATCTGCATATAGTGACCCAACAGCAAACCCAATCCATAAGCAAACTAAACATGGCAGAATGGTGGAGTTTTCCATGACAAGTACATCCACATAGCATGGAGCATAGGATGGAAAAAATGGGCCTATAAAAGATGTGATTTTTATGTGCCTCTCTTAAATGATCTGACTTTTGGCCACTTCGAAAATGCTGATTCTGATAGGAACATTGGTACTGAATGGCTCCTGCAATCCAATCACTCTCTTTCATGAATAAATGGATCTGACTAATTTTCCATTCAAAAACCTTACCATGAACTACAGAACTTTAACGCCTTCCTTTTGTGATAAAACCCAGTAAAATCAATTCGTGTTCATGTCCTCATTGATGGGATACTTCTCCCACGAGACCTTTCACCAACACTCCATGATATCTGACACTTCATGGTTGCTCTATCTACTTGATTCCTCAAATATGGTTCATATTAGATTTTTTCTTAAAAAAAAACTATAATAAATTATTAAAGTCTTTATCATTTGAGTTGACTGACACCTTCCACAGCACCAGATAATTACTGATGTAAAATTATCATCATCAGGTGAATACTAATCTAGTAGGAATCTAGAATCTTGCATATTGAGAATGTTCAGATTCTCTAAATTTTAGGCCTACATCAAATCTATCCTAACAGCTAATAGATTGACATATCAGTAATCTAGGAAATGAATTTTCATACCCCTACTGGGCAATATATCATGATTTAGTAAATTGTAGGATGAAAAGCAAGAGAATTAAAGAGAAAAGCTTTTCTTGTTACTCTTAACAGATCCATAGCAGCAATACATGGAAAAAAATTATCATGGCACTAATCTTTCCACATCTTGCTATTGTGCTTTTCTATAATTTTATTGAGACAGATAGAAGGCCATGGATGCCAGAGACCCACTAAGGAATTCAGTAAAATTCTTATGGATGATGCTTCTAAATGAATGACCTTTTTTTTCTTATTTTGCTTCAGATTTACCATTAAATAGTTTGAAACATGGGTTTGTTCAACTGCAAACTTGTTTAGTACAATCAAATCAATGGGTCAGATCAGATTGCTCCTTTTAACTTGGATTGTGATAAGATCGGATAACTCGAAAACAATAGGTATTGACTGAAAAAGTTATATTATAAAAGACAACAAACATTATTTGGTGTATTACTGAAAGTTGAAAAGAATAAAAAAGAAAACATAATAAGAGAGAGAGAGAGAGAGAGAGAGAGAGAGAGAGAGAGAGAAAGAGAGAGATTTGAAGGATAAGCTACTTCCATCAGCCTCACAAAATCCAAACCAAATGAAATAAACAAAACCTTCATGAACTTAGCAAGTAAAATATTTTATTACTTCTATTAACAAGTGCTGACTTGACTAATTTCTGCATGCATTCGTTGGCTACTTGATTAATACTATGAGAAAGTTGTCAATTAGTATTGCATGGCTCAAGAGCATATGGTATTAGAACGTACCTCCTTGTGGTCCACTGGTACTGAAGGATACAACCTTAGAGCCTCCGATAGTGCTGCATGCAGATACTCCAATCTCTTCACCTCCTCTGGCTTGAACACTAGCTCACCATCTTCATCTCCTCCTCTCTCATCTGTTATCTTCCTTATCTCCCCAAGAATCCTCTCCTCGACTTCCGGGTGCCGGTTCAGCAGCCAGAAGAACCAGGCCAACGCCACCGACGAGGTGTCGCGGCCGGCGAGTATCAAGTTCACACACACGTCCCTCAGGAACTTGTCGGAGTAGGGCGTCCCGTCTTCGTCTCTTAGCTTCGTGAACACCGTCAGCAGGTCAGATCTCGCCGTCCTCGTCTGCTCCCCGGACGAGAGCTCCTCCCTCCTGGTCCGGATCACCTCGTAGGCGAACTCGTCGACGACAGCGATGGACCTTCTGAGCCATCTCTCGCTCCCGAGGTCGAAGTAGCGCAGCGCCTTCCATATGGCCGTAGGCGTGATGAACCGGATGATAGTTGCCTCGGTCGCGTCCTCGAAGGCCTTGGCAAATGGTATCTCCGGTAGCCCCGGGCGCAAGCAGCCCGGGTCGGTCCCGAAGGCTATCATGCACACGTTGTCGAACGTGAGCCTCAGGAGCACGTCCTGGAGGTCGATCGGCGCGCGCTGGGCTTCGGCCACGGCGAGCACCGGGAGGAGCCTCGAGTGGACGAGCTCGACGAGGGACTGCGCCGTCATGGACCGGAACTCCGCCGAGTGGAACTCGAGGCTCGCGGTCTTCCGCTGCCTGCGCCAGGTCTCGTCGTCGGCGCTGAAGATGCCGTCGCCAAGAAGATCGCAGACGGTGCTGCGGAAGTACTCGCCCTTGGGGAAGTTGGGGAACTTGACCTTGAGGAGATGCTCCAGGTTGCGAGGGTCGGCGGTGAGGACGCAATGAAGGTTGGTAAACCACGGCCCGCGGAAGACGAACGTGCCGCCTTGGCCGTCAAGCACACCGGTGATCCACTCGTACATGTCCTTACGGATGCCGAGGAGGAGCGACGGCAGCATACCGACTACCGGCCACACCACGAGGCCCTGACGCCTTCCTTGCCGGAGGGAGTGGATGGTTACAAAGATGAAGATGGCCATAAGGATCTCAATGACTTGGATCTCAGGCAAGAACCTAAACAGACCCGCATCAGCGGCGGAAGCACCGGGGCTGTCGGTGACAGTGGTCTGTTTGCCAGAGTCCATGACGTTGAGCTTCGTCAACCAGAAGAGAATGGAAGTGGAAGACGAGTGCAAGTACAGATGTTGGAGAAAACAACTGATATATAAGGATCGGAGGAAGGAGTTCTTTGCGTGCCTTCTATCATCTTTTGCCGTTTGATTTGGTGAGCTGAAGCGCCAAAGAATAAATGTTAAACAGTATTGTTGAAAATTATACGTCAGTCTACTTCGAGGCCATGAGGATGGAGATTGTCGCAGGTAACATCATGGGATTAGAGCAAGGTGTGAAGGACGAGGGTGGTGTGAGGCATGGTAGGGAGATCGAGGGAGGGTAATTAAAAGGGCTCGACTTGCGACTTTGATCGAGTTTAGGTCGTCGGCTTTGGGTTCGAAGCTTTCGAGAGGTGGGAATCCTTTGGAAGGTGGCCAAACGCAACTGCCTCCTTGTGTGTTCCCACAAGTTTCTTGTCATTAACTTCAGTACTTAGGGGTTCTTATATTGATTTAGATTGTAATGACAGGTGCACCAGAAAAGTTCATTCAAATAGTTTGAACTCTCTTTGCTCAGGAAAAACAAAAGAACAAGATTAATGATTTTGTTGGCAATAGGTACTATTGAAGTGTTATCAGCTTTGTCATGATTTACAAACAGTTGTCTTACAGCAAAACATAAACACTAATTGTACCTCATGTGCCTCATGTTGCTTAATTGATAACCGAGAAAAAGAAATCTTTATGATACTGTACCTAAACATTTGTTTCCACAAAGACGGATCTAAAATTCAGCTTTTGTCTTGTTGAGTTCATGAATTTCTAGTCAAATTGTGACCCAAAATTAATAAGGTGATGGTTTCATAGCCCATAGGAGCACCCCAGTGATATCCTGAGAAGAGCGAGCAAGTTGTTCTGGCAACTCAAAACTACACATCTCAACTCAAAACTTAGAATCACCATTGAAGGTTTCTTGTTAGTTGGATGGTTGGACTGTCTTGTGGAGCCAAGAGAGGAAGATGATGATGTTTCAGTGGCCCAAAAAATTACGCAAGCTGGCTGTCTAACCATCCAATAGTTTGAAGATGTTGACGAAGCAGACTGAAAAATCTGTAATAGTCATCTGCTAGCAGCTTCATTTTTTTCAGGTCTTGTTGACAAATGGCGACTGTTTGATGACAAAACATGCCCTTAGATAGTCTTCTCATTGTTTAGCTTCGTAACTCTCAAGTTGTCACCCATGCATAGAGTCTCAATCCAGTTTTTGGTGTTGGTAGAGGTGTTACTCTGTAGAAATTACCTCTGTGCTTCATAGAAATCGTAGTTCCAATGGCTAGAGGAAATAATATGGCATTTATAGTGAATAGTTTTAGTATCAGTCATGGTATCCAATATAATTAGTCAACAGAAGAGGGTCACTTGCCTGCCAGTCGAAACAGGATCGAAGGTGATGATGGATTAGATGATATGACATTCACCTAATTGATGTGATGACTTCAGTTAAGGTTTAGCAATTGGTAGAATGGTTGTCCACGTGAAATGTTTACTGCTCACTCGATCACAAGCCTCGCAGTAGACTGTCATTAACTTTACAAGACTGAATCTATGGGCTGCCCAAGACACAACAAAAGAAGTCAAACCTTAAGAAGTTTACTGTTTATCCAAGCAGCAAATGGCCAAGGCCAAACAATTCCAAGTTCTTCACCTCAGTAACTTCTTATAGGAATGTTGGTCCTTTCTTTAATGTCATATCTTCTGCTGTCTATCCTGCAGCAGTTGATGGAGTAATTTCGATTTAAACGAATTTAATTCACATGTCACCACCTTATTCGCAAAGAGGACAACACTAATTGATCAACCAACCTTGTTGACTAGGATGTCACTCTCGACATGGCAAACCACATTGAATCATCAGCTTAATTTCAAGGAGGAGATAGGAACAGTCTTTGGCCTCAATGTGTAAGACGTAGCATCTTGAATCATGTATGGTTGCTTGAAGGGTTGGTATACACCAGATTTGTTGTTGCATGCAGTACATGAAAGCATAAGAGGTGATGCTAAGTTGGCCTCAACATGGCGGATTTCAGTGAAGATCCATTTCATGACATCTTAGAAGATGCTTTTGGAAGAATGATCTTTGAACACCAGCTGCTTGGAATCTTCTTCACACTTTAGCGGGTGAAGGAAGCAAGCAGCTTCAAGAGCTTAGGTTATACAGCACAATTTTCTCACTCAAATTAGGTTATACTGCCATGAAGGTACTGAACCACGTTGATGTAGACATTTTGGTTCAGTTTGGACACTAAGAAGATGATTTAATAATGGTTAATGGCTCATCTCTCTCTCTCTCTCTCACGATTGCTTTTTGTGCCAATTGAAGGCCTGAGAAAACTATTGCTTGCAAAAAGAAAAATGTCTTGTGCTCCCTGTTTTGTTTAATTAATGTAGTGGCTTTGTACTGCCAAATTTGTGACAGTAGAATCTTAAATTTTCAGCAGATAATAGAGAATTACATTAAGTATCGTAATGTAGACTAGTAGATTACTTTTAAACGTTCCTTTTATTCATCAATCTTCTAATTTTATTCTTGCAGTAAAATTAGTGTTCTCTTTGTCATCTTCTCAGATTGATTCTGACAAGAGGATAGCTCAGTGACAATGTAAGCTTCAGTCTTCCTTCGATCGTCTACTACTCTCTCTCTCTCTCCTCATGTTTTGATGGCCTAATATAATATACAATGTAAGCTTTTGCCAAAGCAGGGCCAGACTGCCTTCTCTCTGAGGGCTGGCTGTATCCCAACCCAATAGAATAATGTTATAATTACTTTGATCCACAAAATATAACATCGC